CAGCGCTCTGCAGCTGGACAGTTTTCAGCTTTTACACTCACGTTCCTCTTCTTACCCATCCCTCCTCAGCGGACGAGCCAAAACCCCTGTGCCTGTGAATCAACTGTATTTCCTTTGATTTTTCTAAGCCCCCAGACAAAACCAGTCTAAGTCCAACGAGAACTGGGGCCTTTCTCCAGCAGAAAGTTAAAGATAAAAAAATTAATTAAAAAAACCCAAAACCTGGAACCTGTAATTCCCCCTGGGAATGCCACTGACTTCTAGTAACAAGTGAGCTTTTGGTTGAAAAATGTCCACTCCCAGCTTCTCCTCCCTGTCTCCTCCTCTTCTTCCCATCAGCTTCTGGAAGCCACAGTCCTCACGGTGCCTCTGGTGCCCTCAGTCTGCTACAAATTACGGCGGATAATGAAGCTCCCGGCAATCGCCCGAGTGTCGCTGGGCTGTGCTGGAGCCGGCGAAGGGACTGTGCTGCACCAGGGTGAAAGCTGCCCGTCATGGAGAACAGCTCGGCCGGGCTCCCGTGGAGCCGTGGTACCCACGACGGGTCCAGGGATGCAATTTGTGTCCAGCTGCCTCTTGGCTTTAAGCAGAACAGATACAAGAAGCGGAGATGGGGAGAGTGATGGCTCCGTGTCACCCTGGGGTTTGGGAGAGCTTTTTGCCTCTCTTCCCTTCAAGGAGGTTGAGGCAAGGGCCGGTCTGGCCACAGCTCTTGGGATAGATGCTGCGGGGGCCCCAGTGCAAGCCCACCAGCTCGGAGGGGTTTAGAGGGTCAGGCATCCTTAAAAGAGCAAGCCTCCAAGCTGTTGGATTCAAAGGCAGGTCCCTGCGGTTCAGAGCCAACAGATCAGCACACGAGAGGCTCGTGCGGAGAAGGAAGGATTCAGCATTTCGTCAAGGAATAAAATTCCTCCATTACTTTAATGCAGGGGATCTCTATTTGGTGTCAAGTGCAAGGGGCTGGTTTCCTCAGCCCGTCCCTTCCTTCAGTCCCAGGCGCCCTTGCTCTGCCTGCAAAGCTCCAAAGGCACGCCGTCGGCTGCAAGGGGTCTCACAGACCCCTCTGGGATCGCAGAGGGGCTGAGGGAGCCCAGCACTGTCTGGATGTGACGGGGTTTGGTCCCAGCCTCCAAATGGCCTGGCTTGGCAGTGCGTTGCTGGGTTGAGGCAAGGCAGCATCCTCCCCGCTGTGACAGCACGGTTCCTCTTCAGATGGTCAATCCCAGCCTGGATTTCCTTTGGTCCATGAGACGAGCATGCTGTCAGATGTTCACCTTCGCTAAAAGACATCTGAGATGGCAGAAGCCAGGCAGGACCCTCGGGAGAGCAGCGACTCGGGGCCGGGGGATGGCAGCGGAGGCTTGGCAGAGATTTGGGGCTGGGAAGAGGCAGCTGAGCGAGGATGGGGCAAGCCGAGCAGGCATTGGGGAGACCTGCTCTGGGAACAGGGCTGGGAACCAGAAGAAACCAGGATCAGAGGGAATTGCTGTAGCTGGAGGTGCTGCTCCAGTCAAAAATAAATAGCATCCTACTGCGGGCAGCTGGTAGGTACCCTCCCGGGGCAAAATACCAACTGCTGAGCACAGGACTTTGCCCGGGCTGCTTCCATTTGCAGGGCTTGCTCTAATAAACACACACTGTCCCTGCAGTAGAGGAATTGAGGTCCTTGGAGGTGTTTCCTTGAGGACGGGTCCCTGCTCCTGTGCCCTCAGTAAGCTGCCCAAGCCTCTCTCCTCGTCCTCTTTACACGCTGCTTGGGTTGTAGCACAGCAGGTTGAACTCCAGGTTTTCATCCCAGTGCCGGAGCAAGACAAAGAGCTGCTGGGCTGCGGCTTTCACCGTGGCCAGGCTGTATCCCTCTGGGAAGTCCTGTTTGCTCAGCCACAGACTGGCCTTGGCGGCCACCAGCTCCCACTCGATGAAGTAGGAAGCTGAGCTGTGCTCCAGCCAGGCCAGGGCCACCGCCGTGGCCCACAGCATCCCCTCCGGCTCTGTCTGCTGCTGCAACTCAATGTCAAAGAGCAAGGCCTGGATCTCGGAGCCGTCTTTCTCCGAGCCCTGGCCGCTGTCAGCTTGCCACTCGGCCGAGGCCGGCGTGCTCTCTGGGGAAGAGAAGCGGCGGATGGTGATGGCCGGTGGAGAGAGTTCCTTCTCGGCTTTCAGGGCTTTGGAGATGCTTTCCACTGCGCTGCCTGAGAAGTGGCGAAGGCGGCCAGCATCTTCTGCGTGGCTGCTGGGTCCCTCCGGCACCCCACCCAGAGTGACATCTCTGGTGGTGGGACTCTTCCCGTGCGCACCATCAGGAACCAGGAGCTGCGGGCCGGAGCCGAGGCTTTTGTGCTCCCTGGAGGGACTGCCCTTCTTGCTGCTGTAGGAGCTGGAGGGGCTGAGGGCCAGGCGGTGGCAGGCAAAGGGAGATGTCCACTTCAGCTTCTCCATGGGGATGTTGACGGCGTCGCAGAAGGCTGAGTTCATGAGAAAGGCACCGCAGGCCAGCTGCAGAGACACCTGCAAGGAACGGTGGGCGCATAGAGAAGCTCTGAGACACCAACCACTTCTGGGAAGTTCAGGCAAAAGGCATGCATGGATGGAATAGCTCGCTCTCTCTGAGCAGACCATCGGACATGGCCATCAGAGACAGCATGAGGCAGGATCCGGGGGAATCCTCCTGCCCTCTGCTCCCCTGCAGTGACCATGCAACCCTGACAAGACCCAGGAACAAGCTGCTCACCAGGGGTAGGTAGTCTATGTTCTCATTGTCACCCTCGGAGCTCGCTTCGCTCACTCTGCTTGGAGATTTACTCATGAACCCTTTGGCAGCTCGAGTCAGCAGCCTGGTTTTATTGAGGGTCAGCCTGCAGGAGGACAAAAAGGCGGCTGTTACCTCCGTGCCCCTCCTGATGCCCACCCTCCCCTCCAAAAACCATCCCTGGTCCCCAGACACTGGCACCATGCTCGGTCCTGGCTCCGGCCGCTAACCCCAGGGCGTCCCTCCGTTCCTGCCACTCTCTAAGAGTTGTGTTTGCATCAGACCCATGGACATGCAAGACATCTGCTAAGGTCAGAGGAAGGTCAAGAAGGTCCATACCTTGCAGCAAAGAGGCTCTCGATGGATTTTTGGGCTTGTGCAGAGGAAGCAGACAGGCTCTGTAATGGCCCTGGGAAGAAACACAAAGCTGGAGGTAAAATGAGGTGCTACAGGAGAGCAAAAGGGAGCAGAGTCTACGTGCTGGGATGCGGGGTGCCTTGTTCTGCTGCTGAGTCTTTGGCAAAATCTGTCCTCTCTCCCCTTGCCTCATTTTCCTTACGTGGATAATGAAATTCCCATGCTTCTCAAAAATGAACCTGGGGGAAATCTATATCAGGGGCCCCATCAGGCTCTGTGCTTTGCACCCCTGGAAGGAGTCAGGTCTTGTGCGCACAGGGCTAATTTTAGGTCATAAGGTTTTATAAAAACCCCCAAAACTCAGCAGAAGTACTTGGTGAAGAGCCCAAATCATGGAGTCGATGCACCTGCACCCTAGCGAGTACCATCAGCTCTTTCCCCTACCTTCGGGGAGACCGCAGCGCTCCCAGCTAGAGGAGGAAGGGGTGCTGCAGAGCGACAGGCTGCTCTCCTCTGCATCTGCAACAGAGGAACCACATCAGCAACACCACCCAGCCGAAATCACCACCCTGCCAGGCTGCGGCACGGCCGCTCTCCCTCTCCATGGCATTATCAGGTTAATGAGCCTGATCAGGGGCAATTTTAATTCAGCTGCAGACCTGACAATGCCAGACGAGGTCCAATCCAACTCATCTTCATTAGCGGAGGATTCGATGACAAGCAAGTGTCTCACATCCCCTTGCCTCTAATTACACCCGGTTTCATCCCTCATGTTATCTGTGTTGCGGCTGCCAATTAACTTCCAAGCATTGTCAGCAGCCACTGCCTGCGACTTGGGAGTTTCAGGGTAAATTGCAGCTTCTTCCCCGTTTAAGGAGATGGACTCCAGCCAGACACGTGTCTGGTGAGCACCATATTCAAAGAGGAAGGCAGAAGAAAAAAAGACCAGAGAAGATGTCCCTTCATAGACTACACCACTGAGATCTGTAACACCAGGAAGGAGACAAAACCCCAGGGAATCTTACTCATGCCGTAAAATCCATCGTCTCCATTCTGGCCACAAGCTGACTGGGGACGTCCAGGGGAAAAGCCACGATGTCTTCTGTTTCCTGAGCTCAGGCTCCTCTGGCTGCCTTGCTTGGATGCTGCCCCTTGGCATGAGAGAAGGGAATTGCCAGCGTTAGAGAGGGACTGGCACACACACGATGGCAGCAAAACTCACAGACTGGTGAGCTTGGTCATGTCTGGGCATCCAGACCTAAGAGTAGACCTTTTGCCTGGCCACGGGGAAGAGGTTCTTGCCACCAAGAGTGGCAGGCATGCTGTTGGGCTCAGCCATGGCCTTGGGTATAAAGGTCTGGTGCCGAATTGAGCCATGGCTTCAAAGGTTTTGCTCTGAGTGAGGTTCCTCAGGTGACACCCTCCCTCCCAGGACAACGTTTCACCCCTCCGCCAGCCCCATGTTACCCGTGTGTGTGTACTCGACGACAGTGGGCAGGTAGGCGTTGGTGCTCAGGTCCACCGGCATGAACGCCGTGTACTTGCTGATGACGTTGCAGGCCTTGCTGGTGTGGACAGCGTTGACCTGGTACCTCCGCCCGGACCCTGCCACGTGAGAGACACCAGGGTTAGAGTCCACGTGCCCCGTGGGCTCCAGCCACTCCTCGGACCCAGCTCCCAGACCCACCTCCATGCTTGGGCTCCATGCCCAGCAGGGACTGTGTCCCTCTAAACTCTGCCTACTGCTTCTTCTGCTCTGATTTTACATGCACAGATGCACTTCATGGAAGAGAAGTTTGACAAGACCCAGGGACATGTGCAGCCCAGAGCAGTGATGTGTGGCTGCTGTTGGACCCTCTGAGTTTGATGCCACCTCCCAGCTCCAGGTGACTAACTCCTTAAAAATAATCACCATCACCCGATGTGTGAAGCAGAGGAGCACGAGCTTGAGCACGTTAATGTGCAGCGAGGCTGCAGAAGCAGGAGAAAAGTGCAAGGCAGCTGGAGAGGGCTGTCATTTGGGAACTGAGTGAGACATTCCCTAATATTTCACAACTGCCTGCCCTTGTATTAACTCAAGAGGCTGCTGAAACTGCTGGAAAGCCCACCCCGAGGCAGGGCAGGGTCTGCCTGCAGCCAGCTTGCAGGGTGGCCGGGAGCTCCGCGTTACCGTGCTCGATTTCACACTCCTTCTCGGCAAGCTGCTCAAAGTCCCGGATGACCGACTTGGCTGCCAGGTGGTGGAAGGTCTCGCTCCACAGGTCTGCGTCGCCGTCCGCCTGGCTCTCCCGCTCTCGGAAGAGAGGGCGGATATCAAAGGCGACTTCCCACTCCACGGGCTCGTTGCTCCTTAGCCCCTTCACCACCGCCTTGCAGAGGGTCCTGGGGGAGTGCAGGGAGCCACGGGCAGTGCTGAAGTCGAAGTCCTGGGGCTCCCAGTCGGAGGAGGTCTCCGTTTCAAACGTGAAGGAAGGATGCTGGGCAGACTCTGCAGAGAGGGGAGAGGCGGATAATTAATCACATCAGTGGGAGCTGAATTCCCCACTGCCACCAAGAAACCATAATTAATACTTCCTAATTTTCACACAGTGGCACAGAACGCGATGCAATGCCACCGAAACCCTGGCACGGACAGGTGAGGCTGGCCGTGCCTCCCTCTCTCCCCAGTTACCCAGATCCCCAGGGCTCCGGCTGTCCGACGAAGACCTCAGACTCGCAGTGGCATCGAGTGGTCCCAAACCCCTTCCTGGAACCGCCTGCTGCAGCCCATCCAGCACTGGCGGGGAGTCGGCGTCGTGGCAGAAGGACATGCAGCTCCGGTGGAGCAGGGATGGCCGCCGAGCGCCCGCACCGCGGATCCTCGTGGCAGAGACATGCGGGCTGGCTGTGAAGGGCTGAGAGCAGAGCAAACATTAGGGCTGGAGCCGGCTGCAGCCGATGGCATGGACCTGCTCTGTCCCTTCTGATCTGTCTGCTCCCTGCCCGATCCCCGCATGAGATGCAATCGTGCAAACACACAGGTCCCTCTCTGCTCAGCCCCGGCTGGGATCCCTGCCCAGACAGAGCCCTCCATCAGACTTGCAGGGTGTCCCCAAGGGACCCTGGCCCCCGGGGTCCTTCCCCAGACAGGCAGAAGGTGAAATATGAGTTTCATCCCTCCAGACATTTTAATGACTTCACGTGGGAACCAAAGGAAAGAAGAGAGACAGAAAGATCAAGGACCAGTTGCTTAGTAACGAAAGGAGAGGTGCAGAGGATGGGGAGAAGGGAATTTTTATCTTTTTTTTTTTTTTTTAGACTGTTTCTCCACTTTCAGGAGACATGAATCCCCCCTCCAGCATCTCCGGTGCCACATCCCGCACGGACGTCCCCCTCCACGGCTAGCAGAGACACTGAGCTCTGGCTGTTTCTATCCCCGTCCCCAAGGCTGTGGGAAGGTCCCCCTAAAACCGACTGTCTCTCTGTCTTCCTAGCACAACACCAGCAAGGGACGGAGGTGGTAAAAAGTGGTGGATCTCAGTGCTGGATGGAAAGATGCTTTCTCTGGGTGGCAGGCAAGAATGTGGCCTCCATCACCACCTAATTTTTGATGCTCTATGAGACCACTAGCAAAAATGGGAGGCAGGCAGCTCCAGGAGCTACTTACCAAGCGAGGACTGAGATATTTAAAAGCGAGCCGGTCACAGAAGCCCCTGCCAGACCCTTTCCATTCAAAATCTGATCCTTCTCCTGCCCAAGCTCTCCTCCCAGCCAGGGGAAGCCAGCCAGGAATGACGCCGGGGGTTTAAGCTGCCCATCGCAAGCGCTGATCTTTCCTTCCCAGCACGGCACGTGCGGAGACGAGCTGAGGGCTCACGTTCACATCCCCGAAAATGTCAAGCCCTGGCAGCCAGACTGGGAGCTGGGAGAGCTGCTGGGAGCCCTCGCAGCACGAGGGATAGCAAAACCAGGCTGCAATTAATTAAGACCAGGATGCATGCTGTTAACCATTTGCTGCCCTCCAGAAGGGAGTTGTTTCCATCCCTGCCTTCACGCTGAGCATCCTGTGGGCAGGAGGATGCTCTGTGGACCTTCGCGATGCAGTCAAGGTCACAGGTACCCCTAAAACCTACCACTGCTTGCCCTTCGTCAAGCGATGCTGTTCACCACACTCATTGCTGCAGCCAGAGGGCAGAGGTCTCGTTCCCCCCTGTGGAGCGCTGGCCCTTCTTCCCCTTCGCCCCCCATCTCACCTCCAGCCCCCCTTCACCCAGGCGATCTCTAACCCGCAGCAGAAGAGAAACGAAAGCCCCAGACATCCCGCTCTGAGTTTCCATGGGAACAAAAGTGCTGCTGGTCCTCCCAGCCCTGCAGATGCTGATTTCAGAGCCCAGCATCCTGGCAATGCCGAGGATGGGAGAAAACCATCCCTACCCTTCCACAGATCAGCCTAAAAAGCTTCCCAAATTTCACCTGCTATCTGCTGCAGGCGGGGGACATAACACTGCTCAGCAGATGTATCATCACACAGGTCCGATGCTGCGTATGGGCTGTGGTTCCAGCCAGCGCAGCGGGGGAGCTGCTTCGGGACTGACTGTCTTTTCCCCTGCAGGGCACAGATATGCCACAGCCAGACAGAGAGTTTGCATCGCATGGCCAAACTCCAGGGAAATACGAAGGAAGCAGCAGCCTGGGGATCAGATGAGGAGCAAAGCGAAGCACAGGCCGCTCAGAGGAAGGGGAGAGGCATTTAGCAAAGAAAAGCTGGGCTGCCGTGGGGAGGCACTGCTATGGGATATCAAGATGGCACTCTGCTGCCTGCTTGGCTTGTTTCCTACGTGTTTGTGATGTGCTGCAGCACAAAGCACGGGCACGTAGATATATATATCAGGACTAGTGTGAGCCAGGCTCTTTCCCCTATGCATCAGACTTTCTTGCTGCTGCACGCTGGCCTCCGCCTGCAGGCGAAGCCTCTCTGGGGGTCACGTACCTGGAAATCCACCTGCCAGGGCTCGGGGCTGACCTGCTGCAGGTCCTGCAGCTGGGTTTTCCGCAGGGGGTTTTTCACCAGGGTGGTGCCGGGATCACTGGCCGTGGGCACCTTCTTGCAGGGCTCGTGGTCAGCTATTTGGGTGGTGCTGTACGCCCGTCTCCTGGAAGAAGCCTTCACGTCCGTTCCTGCATGGTGGGAGAGAAGATCAGCTCCGCTCCAAGCGGGACCAGCCAGCACCGTCCGCCCTTGGCTCAGGGTGGGCAGCAGGGAGCCCAGCCCTGCGGTCCTCCTGGGGCCGAGGGGGCCACGCTCAGCCCTGCCCTGTTTTAAGCGAAGCACCGAAACCACAAAAGGAAATAAGAGCCTACTCTCAAAACTCCTGGGGATGTCGGGAGAGCAGGTTGGGGAGGTTTCGTCTGAGCAGTTTTCAGCCAGAAAAAGCCTGACTGCATCTCCCCAAACCTCCCTGGAGAAGACAAAGTGTTTACTAATGAAATTTCATTAATGCAGACATTCTCCTGTCAGAGTAAAATTTCATTTGGAAAGGCATGATTTCTCATTGCTTTTGACAAGGTTGAGGGGATGCGCAGCACAGTTCCTCTCTGAATATACGGGAAGAACGTCCCGTGAGTAACAGAGGTTTCCTCGTCGCATGGAAATGCAGCCGGCTCTGGGGTGCAACCAGCCGCTTTATGCCACATGTTGCTTGACACAAGTGCCCAGCCGAACTGTGATGGTGAGGGGTGACACCCTGGGGACAGGGCTTTGGATCCATTGCCCACCCCGCTCCTGACCTTGAGCTGCAATGTCAGGGCTTGCAGGGAAGCGACGGCTTTGCAGGTGCAGGGACAATCTAGCTGGGCTCCCCGTTTGATCACTCCTGTCCTTCTCCGCACACCGGAGGGCAGCTTGGGAAGCTTGTAAATAATTATGTGGCCAAAGCTAGAGCTGCTTTGAAATTCTCCAGGGAAGCCAGTTCTCCAGGGCTTCCCTTGATTTCCTGACAGGTTTGGATAAAACATCCAAACCAAATAGACTCGCTCAAGCCTCGGGAGATCTGTCATCCCTCCTGCAAACCCCTCTGACTCTTTGCAGTGATACAGCCGAAGAGACTTATTTGTCAGACAAGCAAATTGGCAGAGCAGAGACAGAAGCTTGATTAGAAAGACAGGGGCATCACACCCACACTTGTACAGAGGAAAATCTGACCGGTGTCTGTGTCCGATTCTCCCCCAGGATCTCTGCCCACCACCAGGTGATCGGGGGCACGCTCGACGGGGCAGCAGCCCTCCGAGTCTCTGGAGTGGTTCCAGCTCTCCATGCCTGCTCCCTCCTCCTGGGAGTGAAAGAAAACAGAGCTGCCCGACTCCTGGGAACGCATCATGCTGTAACGTCGCCTCTTGTCCTGGGGGAAAGCAGAGAGAGGGAATAGGTCCTACCACTGCATCCACCAGCCACCTTCCAGCCCAGAGGAGCCACTGCTTGTGCACCAGCACCCTTATCCACTGAGCTCCTATTTCTCCCCGATGTCTCACCCACCATCTCCCTTGAGAACAGAGCAAGAAAGCAAGAGACACCTCCTGACCACGCACAAGGAGCTGAGAAGCCTGCTTGTGCAAGTGCACACCAACACCCCCTGCTCCCGGGACAGCCCCATCAGCCAGCACAGCACGGACTCACAGATCTGGGGTTGGAGATGTACGGGGAGGTGTCACAGATGATGCCGTAGCCGACCAGGCGGTCACCAGGGAAGAGGCAACTGGTGCTGATGGGGGAAACCAAGACCTCGGTGCTCTCGGGGAAGACCCACTCCACGGACACGTCACTCAGGACCGGCGCCATCGCCTTCTTCAGCGACTTGATCATCTGAGGCAGAAAGCAAAGGGGAGCGGTTATGCAGCAAGTGGACGTGGTGTGCGCCACGCTGCACGTGCCACGTGTTGCAGGGGAAGGGGAAAATTTCCCCAAACAAATCCATCAGCTGATCTGTACCCTCTCCTGACCTTAGATGGGAGCCTGCTCCCTCTTCGACTGCTCTGATACCCATCCAGCACCCCCAGCCCCTTGGCACGGTCATACCGAGGGCAGCAGAGCAGATATTGGTAAAGCCCAGGGCTGATCTCACACTGCATGTTGCCAGCTCAGAGAAAGGTGGGAGCTTGTGGCCAGAGGTATCTTGCTCCGGTGCGAGGCAGCATCCCCTGCTCCCCCCCAGCACCCAGGAAAAGCTGTTAACCTTCAGTTGTCCGAGCCCCGGCCCTGCCCCAAGCCCCGACACTCACGCACCGACTGACAGCACTGCTATTTTTGGTACAGGTCCCTGCCGGCACAAGCCACTGCCGGAGATCAGCAATGCTCTGCCAATGACACATGTGCAGAAGACCGATATCCGTGAATATCTCATGGACAAACCTACCAGGGAGCCATCTACAAGAGCTTTCCTGCACACCAGGGGAAGCGAACACCAGATTTAGAGGCAGAACAGCTCAAACATTCTCTATTGTTCACTGCTTTTTCACAGGCTCAGGAAGACACACCAGGCTGTGTTTTATAAGGCCATTAATTGATGCCTCAGACTGCTGAAGGCACCAAGCTGCACAGCCTGCAAAGCTCTTTATTAATAGCTCGATAAAAAAAACCTCTCCCTTCACTGTCTTTGCTTTTAATTTACATCAGAAATGCTGATGCCAATCTGTCTTAGAGAGGTGTTTGTGTGCTCCAGGTTCCTGCAGAGGGGTGGACTGCTGAACTCCTCCATTTGAGATCAGGAAGGTAGGAGCCAGCTTTTTGGAGATATTTAGGAGCTAAAGACCCAGTTCTCTCTGGGTTTAGTCATCCAGCAGAAGACGGGCTAGGCACCGTGCTTTCACCAGGGGACAGAGCCATTCTGACGGTGTGTTTGAGGCACATCGGTTTACACAGTCTTCATGGGGAGAGTGGAAATGAAGAGCCTCCCCTCTTTGCTTTACAGCTGGCTTAACAGGCAAAGCTATCGCAGCGTATTCCTCTCCCTCAAACCCTGGGTACTTCTTGCCTGAGCAACGCCAGGGCTGAGCCTGACTTCAAAACTAATTGGCTGCTTTGATGCCGGTTCCTCTGCCCTCGCCGGTGTCTGAGGCAGCAGTTACCTTTGAAGCCAAAGCTGCGGTATCGCGGCTATCGCTTCTCCCCATCCCTGTGCGGAGGGTAAACACACCCTCCCACTCCCTCTGACAGCCGGAGATGAAGATGCTCTTTCATCCCCTCCCGCTCGCCCACCTGCTGCCGAGTGGGAGTTGGAAAGGCAGCAGCAGGATGGGGAATAAGACCCGCTAGTGAGCCGTGGCCTCCCCCTCGCTGAACCAGAGCATCGTTACAGCCTGACGAGGTGGTCCCCTGGGAGCAGGGAGCCGTACCTTGGGCTGCAGCCTCTCGCCCTCCGCCAGGAACTCGGCGATGCCCCTGGACACAGCAGCCAGCCCCCGAACCAGTCTCCTGCAGGCATTTGGCCCGATGCCGAAGCTGTAGCATCTGTAAAGGGACAGGGAGCATCCGGATCCAGGGGACAAGCCATCCCAACTCCCAGCCCCACGCCGCTCACCCACTCCCCGCAGGCAGAAGACCCCCCCCAGCCCGGGTTTATCCCACTGCTATGCAGTTATCCAGCATGTCCGGAGGAAAATAAACCAGTTCCTCTTTTAGGTGGCTGGCAGGAGGGTTGGGAACCGCCAGCCCCTTCTTCTCAGCAGACCACAAATCCCTTCCCCGAAGAGCAGCCTTCAGCTGCGACGCTCAGGGGCTTCCCAGCAGGACCCAGCAGGCCCCCAAGCCCTTGCCTCCTCTGCAAACACAAACAAGCTGCTTTGCTGCCAGTTCAGCTCTTTTCCCTGCTGAGTGTCTGTGGTCAATAGCACTAAAGACCCAGTAATTATCTCTGCTCACAATTAAAATAAACGCTTTCTCAAGGAAAGAGGAACCAGCCAGGCGAGGCTGCTCCCCTGACTCCCAGCTCAGTGAGTCAGGATTTGGTTTTGGCTGAAGGCTGAAAACCCAGAGCTGAGCTGGAGTTGGGGCAGGGAGGGCAGGAGCGAGCAGTGCCCGGTGGGGATGGATGCGGTAGGAAGCCAGGAGGGATGGGGATGGGTGGGATACGGCGTTCGGCCAGGGCAGGGGATAGCTGAGGAAGAAACCACCTTCAGCAGCAAACTGCATCTGCACGAGGAGTTTTCCTCTTAGAGGTTTTCAATCCCCAGCTGGCTGCAGATCTTAGGTCAGCCTCACACCCTCTTAAATAAGGCTCTGATCTTCTTTTGAGACAGGGGCCACGCACACGGCTTGGCGGTGCGCTGGGCACTGCCTTCCAGGGTCACCTGAGACCACGCTCTGACTGATGGCGTTCAGCCCACCACCACGCCTCTGTAAGAGCGAGGGGTGGGCTGCCCTATACAGCTGGGAAGCAGTTACACCTCCGTATAGTAAAAAAAGGACAGAGCAGCTTCCCTGATAAGCCCTGAAGGCTGAGGGATGGAAGAAGAATGAGGTTTTCTTCCATTTTTCTTATGTTTCATGCCCCTTAAAGAGGCAGAGGAGAAACCAGACCAGCCTGTCATCAGGGCTGGGGAACCAGGCTGGGAGCTCGATGCACAAATTAGCTGCTTTTTACATTGCTCTCTTTCAGCATATTCAATTCTGCGCAGCCCCATCCTGGAAGCAGCTGGGGCCAGACCCAGATGTGCTTTAAAAAAATAAAACAAGCCGGCAAGGAAGATTGTTCGTGTGTCAATCTCTCCTAGCAGGAAGCATCAGACGAGAGCCTGTGAAGTTGTCAGCCCAATTATCCTGCTTTTGATTGTTTAAAAAGCATCTGAACTTCTGGGATCTGTTCCAAACCCTTTGAGGTTCTCCCATGCCTCATACCAGCAATCTCTCCTGCCGCTATCTCTTTAGCGGGTACGTCTGTGAGATGGAGCCATGTTCAAGGAGAAGCACGTCCCCCAGGATTTTGCCCCCATGGTGGTGATTCCCGCTGCCCTCCGTACCTGGTGGAGCAAGAGTGGTTTCGCAACAGCTCCAGGACCTTCCCCGTGTTGCTGATGGCCCCGTGCGTCAGCAGAAAGAGCAGTCGGGGATGGCCCCTGTGGATGGGCTGTCGAATGACCCACTTCAAAGGCGATAAGATGTTGGTGCCACCCATATCAGCCCGGATCCTCTTGATGCTCTCGCAGGCGATGGCCAGGCTTTCCTGCCCAAAGGAGCAGCAGAATGGTCAGCCTCTGCACCAGCGGCCTCTGAGCACCAAGGAAATGTGGCTCCCCCTTCACCCACCTCGCAGTAAGCCTGACTGGCAGGAAAGAGGGTCTTGAAGGTGGATCCAAACCCAATGACATTGAAGAGACACGCTGGCATCAGGCTCTTGAGAATGACCAACAGGGCATCCTGGGGGGGGGAAAGCAAGCAGACATCAAGCACGCTGGGTCCCTCCCCGGCTGCCCCAGCTTCACCAGTACAAGCTCTGCCCAGGTCCTACCTTGCCATCACACCTTACTCCCACCGTCATTTGTCTGCATGCATTTGATATTAAAACAACTGTTTCTTTCACATGTGAACTGCACTGCATATGAAATCACTGCATATTACTCTGCTCATTCCAAAGTCCCTTAATGATATTTGGGTCCCAAAGCAAGGAGGAAAATGGGGACCCTTCGGAAAAAAAAAAAAAAAGAGCTGAACAAATTTTTCTGTTTGTTTTTAACTGATTAAATTTGTGCTTGCAATACGGTACTGCAGCACGGAGCTAGTGGGTGAGAAGCAGAGTGTGAAATTGAGAAGTGCGACACGCAATGCATTTCAATGTCCAAACTTGCAGAAAATAAACAAACAGCTTAAAGTTACACAAAAGGAAAAGCCTCCCCCATCCCCAATTCTCTTGTATTCATAGCTGGCATCCATTAAAATAACTGGGAGAGACAGTTTTAAGCTATTTTCTTCACCAGAGGTTGTTATCTAACTCGCCTATTCCTAGTCTTTACATAAGGGAAGAGCAATTTAAATTGTCTCAGACATGTGATGGCCATGGACAACTCCAGGACGGAGCTTGTGTTAGCAGCCACTGGGCAAGAGCTACCCAAGGAGCTCCTGAGCTTGCAGGGGCAGCAGGAGCAATTAGCGTGGCAGGAGAGGGAGGCCAATTTAAAGCAAAGTGCTGGCAAGGTGCAGGAGCGGCTTGGTTCTGCTTATATGCTGATAAAGGCAGACTCCTGCCAGTCTGCCTAGGGCAGCAGAAACCCTCAAACCAGCCCCAAGAGAAGAGCTGCCAAGGTCAAACGAGCGAGAGCAGCCTCCTTGCTTTGTCATAGGCAGTGGCAAAGACCGAGGAACCGCAGAAGGTGGGTGCTGGAGCTGCACGTAGAGAACCCCCCCGCCTGGGAAGAGCCACAGGGAGATGGGTGGCAGGTCAGCGGGGTCCCCGACCCCTGTAAGACTCAGCAAGGCAGAGCCGGAGCACTGCGAATCAGCGAAATAACGTACGAGAACGGGGCTGCCCTTTAACAGGCTCCAGAGGACTTTAAACCAAGCTGTTATCTCAAACCTACGAGAATATATTTATACCACTGCTTCCCAGATGGTTCCTGGGATGCTGACTCTTCCAAACCTCAACACTGACATCCCACCTCGGAACTAATTACAAGGAAAAAAACAGATTTCCAAATATTTTTCCCAAAGTGGGCAACCGATGCCTGCTTTCTGTTTCAGCAAGCGGAAAGATTTATTGCTTCTTGTGGTAAATATTGATCTTGATCCTGTTGCACTGGATATCTATACGGCAGCTCAATAAGAAGAGATGTTTGCCTCCAGAGAAGTCAATTCCCAGTTATTAGTCTAGTTTTGCCAGCGAGCCCACCCGGTGTGGGCACTGTCATGGGCCTGGCTCTTCTCCTTGGCTGCATCAGGACGGGAAAGGAACCAGCTGCAGGAAATTTAAACCCCTGAACTTTCCACCCCAGCCATTTTGGCCGAGTGCCCTCCTGCTCGTCAGTGAACCGCGTCCTCCCGGCTGCAGGCAGCCAGCCCACGCCGGACCATCCCCTCCCCGTTTGCATCTCTGCCAGCACCACCGCTCTGCAGCTCAGCTTTCCCCGCTGCGCACGTCCGAGCCCTGCCACGCCACTCGCCCAGCAAGCTGAGGACGATGCAAATGTCTCCGTCAAGTGTAACCCACCCAAACCCACTAAGAACAGCCCCTGCCACGAGGTCCCTGATATTTGCAAGTCATAAACAAGGATGGGGGACTCAAAAGAGAGACAGTGTTTTTCTCCTTTGAGGTATCTCCTCCAAAATCTCCAATGCCTCCCCCAGAATATTTTTGCAGAAGGGGAACAACCTTTTTCCTGTTTTTACAGCCCTCCTGCGGATGGAAGTCCCAGTTCAGGACCTCTTGGAGAAGGGCTATGTCCCTGCAGGGTCCCCATCCCCATGGGACAAACCAGCCTCCGTGGAAGCTGCGGAGACTGTGGTGCCCAAACCCAGCCACGCTGCCAGTCAGAAAGCAAAAATCTGGCCTGGGGCAGAGATGCATCCTGATTCCCAGGCTCCGAAAGGTGCAGAGGGAAGGGGGTACCACCTTTGGTGGATGCAAGGACAGGGGACAGCCTCCCTATCCCAGGGGACCTGCTGCAGCCGTCCTCAGGCTCCCCGGCATCCCGATCCTTGTTGCCGGAGGTGGCCATCCTCTGGCAGTTCCCATGGAAACCGGAGACAGATGGGTAAGGAGATGGGCTAGAAGATGCTCCCTGCTGCTCGCCCTGGGCAGCGAGTCCTGCAGAAAGGGGTGCAGCCGTACCCAGGGGAGCGTTTCGGTCCCAATCTGGGTGGCACTTGTGTTAGGAAAGGGTGTGAGCAGGACACCTGGGGACACACCAGCTCGGTGAATCTCTCAGACATCCAAATGGAATCAAACCCCTCAGATGAAGCCTGCCTCTGCAATTCCCTCGCTGTCCTCAACAAAGATGCACGGGGCAGCGCAGACCCATGCCCTGCTCAGGAGGATGCGATATTCATCAAGCTATTGGGGCTTACCTGGCCCTGAAAATCAAGACAGAAACTTTCCAAAAGAGCTTTTGCCAGAGACTGCAGCTTCTCACCGGGACCTGCCAGCTGGCAGGCATCAGACACCAACCTGTCCTCCAAAGTGCGTTAGGCAGGGATAACGACAATTAAATAGTTACGGGAGTGATTTCCCCTTTGATGGACAGAGTGGTCCCTAGCGGGCTCAGGGCAGGAGCCTCTCCAGATCCTTCGGGCAGTGGCACAAAGCCAAGCCCAGCCCTCGTGGGGCAACCTGCGGCTGGGTAAGAGCCATACCTGACAGGGGAACCTCAGACCTACAAAATATCATGACAAGGCCTTTCTACAGCCCCTTTTTTATCCAGACGTCTCAGCACACCTCTCATAATCCTCCACCAGACTGCAGGTGTTCATTTGTGTTTGAAAAAGGGATGCATCATGTTCAAACAACTTCTCCGGGTGCACAGAGGTGCCCATCAGCAAAACGTCTCCTAATGCATGGTTAGCACATCGCCCTGAAGTATCCCTTGGGTCTCCCTGGAGCTTCCCACCTAGGCAGCAATCACCCAAGCCCTCCTGGAGACAGGGAGAACTGGAGAAGGGATGCAGAAGACAAGCAAGCCAGCAAAGAGTGGGAAAGAAAACACCTTTGCATTTGATGCGCTGATAAGAAGAAGAGGAAGAGGAACAGAACAGAGTCAGCTTCGCTGCAGGTACCTAACAAGCCACACGGTTGAGATGACTAAAGCTACAGCATATAATTACCCCCCATCCCCTCATAATGAACACTCATCAGCACTCAACAACCCCCACTGCTCTCTAATATTCACCCCTCGCTGGCACGCAGGCACTTGCCCTCCTGCGTGGTACCTTGACGCGGTTGATGTTCACGCTGCTCATGCTTCTGCTGCGGTCTATGAGGAAGATAAACTCTCCTTGGGCTTTCTGGAGGTCTGGCTGGACGGTCCTCAAGTCCGGGCAGAAGTTGAGCATGATGACGGGGTGGTGGGGGATGTCCTTGTTCAGCCGCTTCCTGATGATTTCCATCTGCAAGAAAGAAAGAGAGACCTCGAGAGGTTGATTTTCTGCCCCTTTTCACCTCGAGGGAAATCAGAGCAGGGCTGCGAGCCCAAAGATGGAAGTGCATGGCCTTCTGTGGGCAGGGACGGCTTGTTCTGGCCTCAGCGGTGACAACACCTGAGCTCAGGCTGTGCCGCAGGTTGTTCTGTCTGTACCCCCTGCGGAGCTGCTCCGTGGGTGAACGGGATTCCTGCCTCCTCCCAGCCATTGTCACGCTTTGCCCGGAGACAAAGGCTGGCAGAAAGCCTAAATCGGGGACCCCCTGCACATGTGGATGAGAGCCTGGAGAAGAAATGAAAAGATTCGGCCCCACGCAGCACCTTGCAAAACTGATTCTCCAAACATTTCATTAGATCCCTCCCGAAAATGTGCTTCATTAGTGCAGTTTAGCATCACACTGAGGCACACTGGAGGTTTTGTCCATGGGCGCTCAATAATGAAGTGAAGAAGAACATGCAGCCCTCAGCACGCTGTATTCACCACTTTGATTCATTCCTGCCGCCTCTGCTTTGCTGTTTTTTCTGCTCATTTCTTTTATCATTTTTCTTTCTATGGCTTGAAACGCTTTGGAAAGCTGAACTGGTCGCTCAGGACATCGTTCGATAGGAACCCACATGATGTATGTCTCTGTACTGTACATAGCTCTGATGGCTCTCTGCATTTTGCCTCATTACTTTCAAGTATCAATCTTCATTAAAAATGTGATAAAATTAAACTGGAAAAAACCTCTTGTGACGGGTTTATAATCTGCTGTTGTGTGTCTATAAAGCAGTCCCGGGTCATAGCCACGGCTGCAGTGAATCAGCGCGTGGCTGCTTTCGAGGGAGCTCCGGGGCCACATCAGCACGGCCCGTGGCTTTTCATCCCTGGGTCTGCAGTGTGGAAACATCCACCGCAATAAGCAGCTCGGGCCCTGGGGCCTTTGTTTGCCTTTTTTTTTCCTCTTTCAAAGGCTGCTGTTTCTTGCTGGCTTCACCAGGAGTAAACCAGACCCTAAATAACTGGGCTTGTTTTCTCCAGCCGTGAGTCATATTCCTAGATCTACGAGCTAACGACCAACCTTTATTTTACATAACTCACTAAACTCAAGAGTCCCTGCGGATCAACATGTACACGCAGGCTTCGCTTTCAGCTGCGCTGCCTGAGTGCTGCTTCTCTGACCCCTGCGAAAAGACGGCTCCCATTCACAGGAACAAGTACCTCGCCGTCACCCCAGCTCTCCCTCATCCTCCTGCATTTCACTCTCATGCTTTGGAGTATAAATTAATCACTCTCTGGGAACTGGAAGGGCTTTTTCCATCCCCATTTTCCTCCAGCCGTATGACATTATTTTGTTTAACATCTTTCCCAGCACGGATGTTTATCACATTTCAGACTAGAGGGATCCTTGCTGTCCCTGCCCAAAGACTGAATTGTGCCCCCGGACCTGCCCGCAGCACTCCCTGGGATGCGCTTGGGGACCCAAGACATAAAATCCCTGCTTGATCAGGATGAGCCCATAACCTGGATTTCCCACTGACTTCAGAGTGAATTTTACAGACAAGCCTTCAGTAAACAGCCTCGGAGCTGCTGCTACAGGTCAGCCAGCAAAGCAAGCACCTCATCTGCGCCGTCTCTTCTCCCCACCTCTCCTCCATTCCCCTTCACCCATTATCCAATTACAGTAAACTAATCAGATCTTGTCAACCGAGAGTTGATTCCAGTGTGCATTCGTCCCCACCACCCTGCTAGCTGACGAGCATCCAAGGTTTTTGCATAACAAACCGAGGGATGAGAATTAATTATCATTTACCGCTGAAATTTCTGGGCTAATTCATTTAAGCCGAGAGGTGCCCAGTGTCATGCTCTGAGCAGCAGCAATTCTAGCCCATAATCTACCCCAGATATTCAGGGCTTTTTCTCTGCTTCTTGCCCTTCTCTGTGCAGTTGCTTCCCAGTCCTCCTGGGGCAAAGAGGTGGCTTTCCTGCAGAGAAATGGCTCTGGAATGATCCCCCCTCAGATAATTTGACGTGCTAAAAGACACAGAAATAATTAGAGAGCCATCTGAGCCGTAGCGTGGGAGTTTCATTTCGTTCCACCTGCCACACGCTGAACACAATTAAAGGAGACGCCTGCCGTGTGAGCAAGCGCAGTCCTGATCCCAGCATCGCGCTGCAAGAGAAAGCGAAGGGCAAAAGGAAAGAGAAGAGGGTTGATGTGTCTCCGGTGAAAGGAGAAACTGCGGCAGCAGAGGGAGGCACCTTCGCAGCAGGTTCGGGATGTCTGCCAAGCGGGGGCCCAGGCTCAGACATGTGGAGAATGAGTTTTAGGGGAAATGAGCATCCCCGGTCGCAAACGAGAACATCTGTGCATGTAAAACAGGGAGCTGACACAGTAAGCCCGGGGCCGTGGTTACACAAGTGCGATGTGTGCCTCAGGTGAAGACTCCCCGCTGGAAATTCAGAAGGCTCTGCCCAGTGCACTATTCTTCACCCATCCCAGACACACTGATGTGGCAGCTCAGAAGTGCTAGGCTGTCACTCACTGCTTCAGAATTGCTGAAAGACGAGGCACAAATCCCAGAGCAGATATTTTTCTATTTGCTGATCAGCAGAACAAAGAGAAGTTTCTCCTACCTTGTCTTCAGTTCAGCTCATTATTCTAAGTAAAATCACTTATTTCTCTCTGACAGCTATCCAGAAATGGTAAACATTTACTGAGCAATTAAAAGAATATTTTATTCTATGTCATTGCAATAATTATAATACCCTTAATGCTATAACAATGTACCTATCTAATTATGCTATGCTAGACTAGTACTAATTATACACACAATAACCATCTCGGAGCCTCTTCCACACTCAATTTATCCAAAGCACTGCAGAATATTCCCCTCTTCCTCCACACAAGCCCCTCTCTGAGGGAGGATGCTGCAGAGCTTATTGGGCCAGTGTAATATCTGGTAACGCAAGCAAGCAAGCAATCACTTACTTGCACAGCTCCAGTCCCAAGGAAAGCCTCAGCTAACGCCTGCAGCTTTTGCTTCTCACCTTTTTCTCAGCACTGGGGTCCTTCTTAGTGCCTTTAATGAAATCGTTCTTCCCCTTCAGGTGTCGTTCGTACTCTGCAGGCGTCATATCACCTTCTTCCATTAAGACGTGAGGCATGTGGGGCTCTGGAAATGCAGAGAATCGGGTGAAGAACAGCCTCAGCTAACCTTGAGGTTTGCAAGAGATGCAGGCACCCTCAGCTGTGAAGACAGAGCAATATCTCTGAGCTTGGGCAGCATGAGCAACCCTGAGAGGGGCCGGGATTATCTCCTAGCAAGCCTAACCCCTGACAGTACTTGCAAAACCAGAGCTCATCCAGCTGTGTCCAGCACTACGGGGGAATGTCCCAGGAAGGGGCAAGACCAGCAGAGAGGAAGCAGAGCCCACCTACCACTTGGATGGATCAAGATCTCCACGGGTCTGTCGAAGGTGTGTTTATTGGCCAGTGTGATCACGATGCTCTTGGCGGAGCGCGCGGAGGGGTCGGCGTCTGCTCGGATCTCGTGCGTGGGGCTCTCAACGCCTGGCCGGGGAAACAGAGGTGCGGTTAGGGACCGAGGACGGGGAAGACCAAGGAGAAGAGAGAGCAAGATGGCAGAGGACAGGAACCAAGCGGACTATGCGATGTTTCTGCCATATCAACGCCCCACGGTAACACCAGCACTGCACTGGTAAATCCACCCCAGCCCAGTTAACTTGCCAAAACAGACTCTACCCTGGGGCGGGGGGGCAGAGAAGGAGGAAGAGTGTGGACACTGCCTTGAGAAGGTGATAAACCAGCCTGCTGCAGCAGGACGGCCCTGGCATTCCTACCTGCCAGCAAGCACGGCCCCCGGATCTCCAGGTGGAAGCTGAATTCATACTCAGAGGGGTTGGTGGCCTCACTCTCCAGCAGCTGAGCCAGGCAGAACCTGCTCCCGTGCTCCGGGCTCCCCGATCCACAGTAGTGCTTGTCCCTGCCGGTGAGATGAACCCCAGTCAACACTGTGCACATGTTATATCCCCCCAAGAACTGCAGATCTGCTGGAGGTAAAGCCTGCAGCAGCTCTCCAGCATCCCGCAGCAAGAGCAGACTTCTGCTCTGCCAGTCCTGCATCCCCCCAGATCAGTCCCAGACAGATCCCATCCCGTGGTTTTTTGTACATTCGGAGCTGGTGGCTGGAAAGGCTGCTGGCGTTCTCCAGGCTGGGCTGGGGGACCCTGGGGACACACACAGCCGGCAGAAGGACCCTCACAGCCCCGCTGGGCAGTGTCTGCAGCTCGGAGGAGGTGCTGATGAAGATGGAGATGCTTTCCAGAGGAGGAATCATGCCCAGGTTAGCCACAAAAACAATCCTCTCCAAGTCCTCATCCATCATGATCCTTCCTGCAGAGAGAGAGAACCACACCAGGGAGATACGGTGTCACAGTTGTGGAAAATGCTTCTCCCCTGGCCTCCCACGACCACCTCAGCCCTGGATCAAATGCCGAAACCAGCCCTCACTGCCCACATCAGCATTTCTCTAAAAAGCCCCAGCCCCAGCCCACTGCACCACTCCTTCAGCTGTCCAGAAGCAACAGCTCTTTCCAAAATGGATGACACTGCTGCTTTTGGCAGACACTGAAAGGACATGAGCACCACGACCCAAGGCTCAGCCTTTCAAAAGGAACCCCCTCGATGCCATGGCATGCGACAGCCAGCCACCCCATGCAGTGAAACACCCCTGACCCCCTCACCTGACCCCCTTCCGTCGCGAGCTCTTCCATCGGGGAGGCTGCAGCCGTCAAAATACATGTCATCTATTTTAGCTTTGTCTTTGATCTGCACTGTCACAGCACGCCGGGACACGGCCGCCTCAAACCTGACAACGGTGGTGCACTCATCCAAGGGGTAGACAAAGAGACCTGCCAGCCAGAAGGCTTTTTAGCAACACCAAACGCTTGCCCGGACCCACCAGCCAGGACCGCAGGGGCCAGCTCCCTCTTGGCACTTCCATGCATGCTCCTGGGACTTTTCCCGCTTCAAAAATTGTAGCCCTGGATTGTTGAGGGTACAATCGAGGATACAATACCCTTGGCTACTCTTCCTGAAAAGATCTAAAGGTTTAAGGAATGCACGGAAACCCAGCGCTGCGATATCCCCACCTCTAAAACTCCCATAGTAGCCCTTGCACTGGGAGCTTCACCCCTTGAAACTTGCCTTCAAAAGCCTGGGCTTCTGGGTTGCGGTAGGTGAGCAAGGCTGTCATCCCAAAGGCATAGCCGCTGACGCACGATGTCACCTCCGACGCGGAGAGGGGGAGCGGGGAGCGGGTCGTCTGGTTAATCAGCCCTGGCATCTTCCCGGGGTTGGTGACGGTGGGGTCACCCGCAGCGAGCTGGAGAGAGGTGGAAGGGTGAGAATGAACGAGGAGCCCTGAGTGCCCAAAACACTTGCGTGTCCCTGCCACCTCATTTTGGCTTCTGCAGCCCTGAGGACAGAAAGGTGACGAGACCTGGGCTTGATGGCTCCACTGGTGGAGATGGGGATGGAGACAAGACCCTGGTGGGAAGATGCAAGGCTTGCCCCAAATCCCCACCGGCACAAGGGAGGAGGTTCAGATTAATCCTGCCTGGCTGGGGACAGGCAGCCCCAGAGGTCGACATTGCAGCGGTGGATCACGCATCTCACCACCTCCCGCACCCACCTACTGCTTGAGTCTGGGCAGAATGGGCTAACATCTTTTTGGCTCTCCTGCTTCTCATTATCCTCCAAACTGACAAGTTTCTCCAGGATAAGACTAGGACCTTGAGAGTTTTCTTCTAGCCTGTGGGAAGAGCAGGCAGGCAGAGGCAGGCATCCTCCCTGCCCTCCCACGCCCTTGCCCACCCGGAGGCAGCCGGTCCCGGCTGCATTTCGGGGCGGTGGCACGGCTCTGCTGCCCCGCATCTCCAGATCCCTTCTGCAAAGGCTGACTCATCCCTCCGCTTTGCTTAGCCGAGACATTCAGATGCAAAGTGGCTACTTCTGCCAATTACATTTCAACCCTTTTCCCTGAGCAGGTTTTCTTCCGTTCCAGCGCATCACCCCCAAGACCCAGGGTTTCAAAGGAGACCTTTCAGGTAGCCCTCGGGCCACATCCAGCTCCCCCAGGGCATCGGGAGAAGTTGCTAGGCAGCAGTTCTCCCTGGCTGGCTCTGCAATGCTTTATGCAATGATTTACAAGGCCCAGGAGGAGCCAGCAGCAGTGAAATACATCAGTTTCTCATTTCCTAGCAGTCCTACGTTATTAAAACCACCTTTATATGCAAATGCCACGGAAGACATGAATGGCAGACATCAAGGCCACGAGCTCGCCGGGCGTTCGGGCAGGAAAACAGCATGAAGGGAGGAAAAAGGGAAAGCAAGGGAGAGCAAGGGAGAGCAAACAGGGCTGGTCGGGATGGGGGAGAGCAGCCAGGGCACCAGAGCAAATCAAACAGAGGAGGAGAAGATGGAGGGGAGTAAGGAGAGCCGTATCTCAAGGCACACTTCTGATTCCCAGCCAACAGCCTCGGCCGTTCACGATTTAATCCTCCTCTCCTTCCACTGCAAAGGCCGTTCACACCAGGAGCTGCCCGTGGGGGTTGGGGAATGCATCCAGAGGGATGCAACCCACATGGCCAGGATACGCAGGAGCATGTCCAGCTCAGCTGCTCCGGCATGGGAGTCCTCCATGAGCCCTGGGGAGGCCATCACACACCGGGATGCTCCAGGCCATGCTAACAGGGCTTGTAAAGTCAGGAGCTGGCAAGAGTTCACCTGCTACAATGAAGGTCATCTCGCTGCTGAGATGTGGCAGAGGCCATCAAGGTATGGGGAAACGACTAAATGCCAGGCAGGGGAAGGAGGGGGGATTATTTTGCCTTAGGGAAGAAAGCAAGCAAGAAATAACAAGAGGAAGATGCTCTCTACCAGCTAGGCACAACGGGAATTCATTATGGGGTTGCCAGAGAGGTGAATTCAGGCTCCAGGAGGAGCGTGACTTCAGCCTGGCAGCTCTCTTGGCTGCGGTGACTTACGACAGAGCCATGGTTGAGATCCAAGCCCCTCACTTCTCCTGCACGGAGGCTTAGGACGTGCCTCCCCTGGGAGCTGCTCTGCCAGCGGGGATTTCTGCATCACCCAGGCCAGCACAAGCATTAAGGGACCCTTGGCGGGACGCAGAGCCCTGTGCCATGTCCTGTATAAAGCTCGCCAGGAGAGTTGCACCTTTCCTGCAGCTCCAGCACGGCTCAGAGGAGCCCTGCACCAGCCCTGCCTGCTACACCAGCTACAAAAACTGCCCCACGAGGAGAGGGAAGGCTCGGAGGGCTCATCCCGGCTGCTTCCCCCATGAAGGCCCTTGGGACAGGGCTGGGAGGCAGCAGGCTGCTGCCAGCACAGCCCAGGGGCTGCTCGGCGCAGATCATGTCGCCAACGCCATCAAGTGACTGCAGCGTGGAAAGGGGAGAGAGCAGGGAGGCTGGCGTGGGGGAAAGCAGTGGGAGAGCTGGCATCTCTCTCCTGTGCCCCCCCAGGAGCTCACTGCCAAGCCCCCCGCCAGCTGCTCCCCGTCCTACCTTTGCTGCTCCGGGACCTGCACCCAGTCTCCATTCAGGTGGCGGGGCTGGACCCTCGGGATGGGAGCTGGCAGGATCCCACATCCCAAATATCACCACCAGCATCGCTGCTGCACAGGGCATCCCTGCATCCACCCCGTCTTCCGCCACTGCCACCAAACGTGCCCTGCCTCCTGCGCGCAGCAGGCGTGGGGCCATCCCACGGACCCAGCCAGATGCCTCCCGACCCACGGCCTCATGCTGCATTTGGCATCCCGGGAGGAGAAGGGAAAACCATTGGTGAATACCTTCAGCCAGCTTGCTGCATCACCGAAAATACCCCACACCCGTAATCCCATCGGCCAGGGAGCAGCTCAGGGCTGGGGACAGAAAGCATCCCTTGGCCAGCCACGCTCAGGACCTGGCACACGGGCATGATCCTGTGTTTTTCTTTTTTTTTTTCCTTGCTTTGTAAATGCTCTTTCCTTGACAATCTGCTCCTCTTCACAGCCACGGAGGAGGGAGGGATGCTGGTAATGTGCTCGCCTCACTCTAGGTTATGCCCCTGGACCATTTCTGTGCACAATTGACGGGGAAGGCACTGATGCTGCACCGACGCCTGCAGACGGTCCCTGTGACGTGCATAGTGCGCAGGGCTTTGCTTCGGAGCGCAGACGGCACTGCGACGCGCAGGCTCGCCCAGAGCTTGCACCAGCCGCTCCACCTGGCTGCAGGCACCTGCCCCAGCACATGGGTGAGACTTGGGGCTGGATTTTAAAGGAGTGGGTTGCAAAGGGTGTTTATGTGCCCGAAAAGGGGGTGCAATGCCTGGAGAGCTGTTCAGAGGCACCTGGGTGCCCATCTGCATCTCTAAGCACTGATGTGCCCTCAAAAAATCTGGCTTTTGAGCCTGTGTAGTAAAGACAGAGGCAGAATAATGCTCTTCTAAGGTGTATTTTCATGCATTGAATAGACAAACAGAGCAAACCATGACTGCTGTAGACATGAGCACACAGCCTAGCTTCTGCACAGCTCCCAAAACCAGGTTGGGGTCCCAGCAGTGCCACCACCACAGGGTCCCTGGCACCCACAGCTGACAACAGGCCAGTAAGACCCAAACCAGCGCTTGGCAGCTGGGATAAAACCGTGTACTGCCTGCGGCATGTCCCCACCCGGCCCTGGTGTCGGAAAGGCAGATGTCCAGAGGCAGCCCCAGCTGCTTTTGCCCCCCAAGACATGAACGCAGCCGTGTGAAGCCCAGCCCCGGTACTGTACATTGCGCCGGAGGCATTTTTGGGCTGCTGAATCGCTGCACCACCCTGCTGTAACCCCTTACCAGCCCCAGATGGGTTCCCTTGGAAGTCTCACCTCCAGGTCCAAGCCAGACCTGGCTCATATCCGCACTGCTGGGAGGATGACTGTTTTTCTGCAGCTGGCTAAAATATTCCTTCCGCTTCATCTGTATCAATCAACACTGACATCCAGTGGCTTGTCAGGATGATTACAGCCGGCGTGCCTTGTAGAGATGTACAGATGTACAGCCCTGGACAGACAGCCCCGGCTGGTGGTGGGGTGCCTGTTGCACCACAACACTGCGTTAGCATCTCTGGAGGCTGCTGGGCCACCAGGACGGGGAAGCAAACTCCCATCTGTTTGCAAAACCAAGACAGGAGAAGCCCTGCGCTTCCCAGACTTTCGGGGCTCTCAAGCAGAGCGATGCCTCGGTATTTCCCTGGCTTCGCAGGGGCAGCACGGCTCCGGGGGCAGCCGTGACCACGCTGCTGGGGGACCCCTGACTTCGCCTACCTGAGCCGCATCAGCTGCGTGGACCTGCATCAGACGTGCAGGACCCGTCCAGCTGCTCTCCCCCAAAGCCCGAGGCTCAAACCTTGCCAGGGGACTGGGATCAACCCCCTGAAACATTTCTAGGAAGCAGTAGGAGCAAAGAGTGTCCTAAACGGCACACACAGCACTGCTGTCCAGGCCCCTGCACAGGACAGGGAGGGGAGGCTTTGCTGGTTGGCAGGAGCACCTCCTGGAAAAGACACGGATCCACCATGGCAGAGCTGTGGGAACCTCTCATGAAAAGCTCTGGTAGCTGTTCTCCCATCTCCAGCCTCCCCTCGCCTCAAAATGCAAGCCCAGGGTATCCCGCCTGCTGGGAAAACCAACAAAACAGCCGCTGTGTTTCACCCCAGAGCCACTGCGGGGTCACAACGTGGTACCCCGCTGCCAAAGCGGTGGCAAAGATTTCTGGCCAGAGGCAGGCATCGCTTTGGGAGCCGGACAGTGCAGCTCCAAGGGGCACCCTGAGGCCTCGGATACGGAGACTGGGGGGACGTGGGGGGAGCGCGCTGCTCCTGCCAGCACCCTGCCGAGAGGGGCACCCAGCGAATGCACCCCCGTACCTGGGGTGATGCAGTGCCAGGCTGAGATGTGATTGACAGCCCCAGCAGAGCCAGATTTCGGGGACTGTCAGTCATACCCCTGGCAGGTCTCTCGGGCTGTCGATGTTGCCCCAGAGCTGGGTCTCAAGGACCATGATTCATGTCCCAAGCCCCATTTCTAAAGCCGTCAATCACGTCCCTGTGCAGACAGCGTTTCTGATATGGGGTTTAGTTAACCCCTGCCTCGCTGGGCTCACAGCTGCGCCGGTGCGTAGAAGATCTCTGGGCTAAGCCAGAGGGAAGGTTTTAGCCCAGACATGCTTTGGCTGCGCTAAAACTGCCAGGCGGCCAGCCCTGTCCGTGGGAAGCCTCCGGAGCCAAGGAGACACGCT